TAATGGACTTGCTGGCTCCTGGACATGGTGGAAAATGGATACTCTATCCCATTCCTTTCTCAGCCCCCCTTCCACCAGCCTTCCCTGTCTGTCTTCAGGAACTCTATCTCTTATGCGAGAAGGTGCAGCAGCTCCTCGATCTAGGAGCAGGGGAAGTGGTTCCTATGCAGTTCAGGGGAAAGAGGGTCTATTCCCATTTCTGCTTTGTTCCCAAAGCCAAGGGAGGCTTTTGCCCTGTTCTGTACCTCAAGGATCTCAACATCTTCATTGCTAAGACGATAGTCACATTGGCGTTCATCATTCCTTCCCTCAATTTGGGAGACTGGTATGCTGCTCTCGTTTTAAAAGACGCTACTTTCGTATATCCATCACCCCAGTCACAGGTGCTTCCTCCATTACATGATGGACCAGGACTATTACCAATTCACCCTTTTGGCTTCTCTGTTTTTTATCAAACGCATGGTGGTGGTAGCAGTTTTCATCCAGAAATGCAAAGTTCAGGTCTATCCCTACTTGGACAATTGGCTGATTCGGGGACCCTTTCCTGCCCAGGCACTGGAGAATATATCCCTAGTTTGGGCAGTCTTTTTAGACCTGGGTCTCCCCTACCCAGACGATAGACTTTTTGGGTGCCCTGCTGGACTCTACAGTAGCCAGGGCCTCTGCTCTGGCTACTGTATGAGGAGTACAGAATCTTTCGAAATGGGGCATTTCTGTCGAAAATGCCTTCTCTAAACTGCCGTTTTTTTCCAAAAAACCCCATTTTGGAAAAAAGCGGCGGCCACCATTATGCAAATAAAGCACGGGATATTTAAAGCATGGTGGAAACTTTTACATAACGAGTTTAACTTTTTATTAACGTGCCTTTTAATAAAGAGATTTTATTGATATTATCCTTGTATTTAATGGTTAAATGTGGGCATAATGCAAAACTATGACATGAATGAAAACTGATTTACTAACTACCAAAATAATAATTTGTAATGTATTTAATTAGGCCATCACATTTAGCAATAACATATATATTCACACATTTATTTAAAAGACCTCACACCTTTTTCTCAGAAGTAGAATTAAAAAAAAAATCAAGATTTACTATTTATGCATGGAATGTACTTTTCAGCTGTTCACTATGTAATATCAATAAATTTAAAAAACTCTGTAAGATGCTATTCATCTGACCAAACATAATGATTCATATTTTCCTTGCTGACAGAGGGGTGTAGTTTAGACGTACCCTTACTGGCCTTCAGGGAATCCATCCGAGACCTGCAGGCCTCTTCCACGACCACAGCCAGAAACTCTATAAGGCTTCTTGGATTCATGGCAGTGTGCACGTATGCGGTGCAGCATGCCAGGGTGTGTGTCTACCTTCTACAGCTGTGGCTAGCTTGGGTGCACAATCTAGCTTTCAACCAGCTGGACATGGTGGTGACAGTTCCAGATGACATCCTAATCTCCCTCCACTGGTGGCTCCGGGAGGATGTGTGGTCTATGCCAGTGTCTTGTTCTCTCAACCTGTGCCGTTGCTCCAGCTGGCATTGGACGTGTCCGATACTGGATGGGGAGCTCACATCAGGGACCTGAGGACTCCAGCTATGTGGTCCCCAGTGGAACTCTCCTTTCATATAAATGTCAGAAATCTGAGGGTGGTTTGCCTTGCATGTCGGACATTCCTTCCCCTGCTGAGGAACAAGGGTGTCCTGGTCTTGTTGGATAGTACCCCGTCAGTGTTCTGAATAAACAAACAGGGTGGTGCTCATTCCCCTCCCCTGTGTCAAGAAGCCCTCATGGAATTCTGAATAGAGCAGGATATTCACCCAGTGGTCTTATACCTCTCTTGGGACCCAGAACACCCAGGTGGACTGGCTCAGCAGATCCTTTTCAAGTCATGAATAATCTCTTATGGTGGGCATTCTGTTAGCATCTTCCAGAAGTGGGAGTTTCCCCACCTTGGACCTCATTGTGACCTTCAGAAACAGGAAGTGCTCCTGTTTCTGCTCCTTCATGAACCACAGCCCAGAGTCTTTGGGAGATGCTCTCCTCATCCCCTCGCCTTTAGGTCTGCTGTATGCCTTTCCTCCCTTTCCCCTGGTCCATAAAATGATCTTAAGGGTCAGGAAATTCAGGTCTTTTCTCACCCTGGTAATATTGCTGTGGCCAAGGCAGCACTGGTTCACATCTTTTCTGAGCCTCTTGGTACAGCGGCTGATCACCCACCTGATGTATCTGGGCCCAATAACTCAGGACTATGGCAGGTTTTTCCATCCAAACCTGCATTCCTGGCACCTTATGGCTTGGAAGCTCCATGGTTGAAGCCAGTGGAATGCCAGTGCTCGGAGTGGGTCCAAAGAGTCTTGTTGGGAAGCAGGAAACTCTCCACTAAAAAGCCAGTTCTCCCTAGAACCATCTCTGCAATGCGGGAACAGGTGGGAGAGGCAGAGACGCAACAGAAGTTGGTCTGGGATCTGGCATTAGCCAGAACTGCTCAGTCCTGACTTGCGCTGGGTCCCAGACCACTATGCCTCTGCCTTTTAAATGTAGTGGGTGGCTCTTACTATATTTAAAAGACAGAGGTGCAATGAGAGAAGAAGGAAACAGCTTCTGATGGATTTAAAAAAGAAAAATCTGAAGCTGTTTGAAATCACACTTAGGTTTGAAATATTAGTCATGATCGAGGTGAAATAGAAGTGGTAAGAATGTATGCAGGTCATGTTTTCAAGGGTAGGGTTGCCAACTTTATTGTTGCCCTGCCCCCACTCACTCCATTGCCTCTTCCTCTGTAGCTCAGTCTTCTCCAAACTCATATACTCATTTTAACCTTGCTGGAGCAGGAAGTTGGGGTGCAAGAAGGGGTGAGGGGTCTGGCGGGGATGTGGACTCTGGGAGAAGGTCAGAAATGAGGGGTTTAGAGTGTGGGAGATAGCGAGCTCCAGGGTGGGGCAGGTGATTGGCATGCAGGGGGAGGAAGAAGAGGTTGAGAGTTCCAGCTGGGGGTGTAGGCTCTGGTGTAGGACTGGGGATGAGGGATTTGGTGTGGACACAATTCTTGGAAACTGGGCAGACTGGTTCAGGGTGGGAGGAAGTGTGGGCTCTAGGAAGGAGTTTGGATGCCGGAGGGGGCTCAGGGATGTGGGAGGAGGTGAGGAAACAGGTGCAGTTTGGGGTGCAGGCTCTTTCTGGCACTCAACTCTGGCGACTCCTGAACATGGCTGGTGTGTCCATGCACCCAGAGGTGCAGGGGCTCTGCACACTGCCCTTGCAGCTCCCATTGGCCTTGTTTTCTAAAAACGTGAGAAGTTATATGTCCTTTTGTGGGTGCCCTCAAATATAGGCTGCACTTCTGTAAACTGGAACTCTCTGGTCTGGCAACATCCATGGTCCGGAAGAACCAATGGGTGTTCCAGGATCAGAGAGTCCCAGTGCGCTCTGTTTGTGCATGTGGGGGGAGCTGGCATACTGCTCAGTTGGGCTATGGGGGGAGCCAGGAAGCCTGTAGGGGGCTCAGGGCAGAGAGGGGGCTAGCAGCAAAGGGGCTAGAAATGACTTCCCCTGGTCCTGAAAAATCCGTGATCTGGAGGTCAGTCATGTTCCAAGGGTGCCGGACCAGGGATGTCCAACCTGTACTGCGCACAGTTGGACATCTAATGACTAGATTCATGCACTCTCATATAATTGTTCTTGCATCTGTAAGTCATTGGAAGTCCAAAATTGTGAGTATTTTCAGGATAAAAAAATGCACCTGCACAATTAGAGATAAAGTTGAGACTTGGCTAAATATTGGGTTCTGTAATGTGGTGCTTGCGAGAAATACATTCATTCTGGCCTTTGCTTGAAGGGCATGGTAGCAGTAAGTTTATTCTTCTGTCTAAAGAGATGGGTTGTCTACAGGTTGAATCTTCCTGGTCTGGCACCTTCGGGAATTGACCTGTCCTGGACCAGGGAATTTGCAGTACCAGGGAAGGTTAAGGCTCCCCTGCTGGCAGCCCCGCTGACAGCTCCTTTCCCTGGGGCTCCCAAGTCTGGGGCTCCCTGTTTTGCTGCTTGCCACCAGCCCTGCTATGTCTGGCGGTTCTTTGCGGTTTCCCAGCCCCAGGCTGCCCAGCTGCTGACAGCCCCACTGCTGCCGAGGGTTTCCCAGGGCTTGCCGGCCCCGCTATCAGGGGCTCTCCATCCACCTGACCCCACTGACACCGGGGTTCCCCTGCCCAGCCACTGTTGACCCAGATGGCACTCCGCAAACTCCATGTTCTCTCAGTTGGCTCCCACTCCTGGGCCTCTTTAGTCCAGAAACATCCATGCTGGACCACGGATGTTGCTGGACCAGAGAGTCCCAGATCTGGGAGGTTCAACCTGTATTTTTGTTTAAGATTTATATTGCATTACTTTTTATTTGCGGACACACAATTCTTGTAAACTTCCTTCAGCATGGCAGAGCTCCCTTTTATGTTAGTCAGAGTTTTTAGTCCAAATAAGAATTCAAGAACAAGTAGTCCTGTGGCACCTTGGAGACTAAGAAATATATAGGATCATGAACCTTTGTGCGCAAAACCCACTTCACCAGATGATAGCTAGTGTAGACAGATAGCGTAGCTCTGTTGATTTGAGTGCAGCTATAGCTTATTCAGTCTGAAAATCTGGCTCATAGTGAGGAACTTAAAAAAAATTGAATAAACAATATATATTCCAAGTTTGTATGCATAGCTAGCCATTTTAATACATTTTAAATTGTGTAAGAGTACCTCTGTAATTTTTTTCATTTCTGTGTTCATTTAGTTAGCATTTGAAGGTACATAATGCATTTCCCCATCCCCTTATTTTGAAGGTGTATAGACGGACAAAGCCTCAGAAATTAGAGGGAATTTGCGGTTTTAAAATTCTTGTTACACAATTCAATGAGAATAAAAAATGATACATTAGAGGACAGCTTAAATGCCTATCAGCTGAATAAAGCATGGGCTCAGAGCTTGTAGAGTGAAAATATGTTTCATCTGTTTTAGATGTATTACAGAGGTGATGTCAAGGTGAAAGCAGACCTGCAGAATGGTTGGAAATCATTGATATTCTGACTCTGAGGCTGTAAATGGCTCTGTGGCAGATGGAGTCTTTGTCAAGGAAGAAAAATGGCAGCTTTGGAGCATCATAGATGTTTTTGCTAGCAGCTCAGCTCACAGGCTGTGACCTTCTAGTGTTCAGGAGTTTCTCTTGTGCTTTAATAAATTGTCCTATGCCTTTATTCCCTAAAGTAGATAAATAGTAGTCATCATAATTCAGTACAAATTGAGGTGTTTCATTATAAAGAAACGTAAACATGTTTTATTATCCTGATTTGTAAGAAGCAAGGTTGTGTTTCTGAATGAGGTAAGTTCAGAAATATTTTAACTTGATACGTTTGTTACTAAAACTAAAAGGGAACCCCACTAACCTTGAACCTTTTTATATATTTTTTCTAGTTCCTTAGAACTAGCATCACATTTAAACTACACATGAGATGAAAAATAAAACAGACAATATATTTTTGGTCAGTGTGTCAATTTTTAAATTGTTTGCACTGTGAGGACCTGTAGCTAGCTAATTCAAGTAAAGGGATAGAATGTCAGGGTATAGTGTATATTGGTGAAAGTATTTCTTGCTAACTTGGAAAACAAGAATGCATAATATAAATTCAGAATTATTTGTATTGTTTTTTGTTTTTACTGATGCTAGTGGTTTGTGACCCAAAGATACTGTAGCATACTGTGGTGTTGATAAAATTGTACAGAACAGTTAGCACCTGGCAGCATCCAGTCCTGAGCAGTGAAGGGGGGGGGGGGGGGGTACGGTTAACTGGTTACCTGTTAACCGGTACCTGGGAGCAGCCTTCTGGCCATGGCCTGCCCCGAGTGCAGGGCTGCTCTAGCTCAACACAGGGGTGGGGAGCCAGCAGCCTGCTCCCAGTCCATCAGCAGCAGCCCTCTGCACAGATTGGAGGGGGTGAGCCAGGAAGTGGCAGTCCCTACATGCATGGGGGAAGAAGGGAGAAAAGGGTGGCAGTGGCAAACCCCCGCTGGGATCCTAGTTTAATCAGTTAACTGGGATTTAACATTCCTACTTTCAACTCCCATTTATTTCAGTTTGTAGGATTGAGTCCTAATTAATAAAATTAGGGTTCACATTTATTTTAGTTGGAATATAAAAATAATTCATTCCTACCTCATTCAATATTTTTCCCATCTCAGGGGGTTTGTTAAAGGCCAGTATAGTATACTAGAAAATTTACCCAGCGTTGCACAGGTCCTTAACTCAATTTTTGTTTTTTGGAAAATAAAATGAAAATGTACATGCTTCATGTAAATATTGCACTGGGAGGGGCAGGAGATGAAAGGTTCAATATACATGATGTCCTGGGAGAGAGGACTGCCCCAGTCATCTCTCTCCTCAATAGATTGGGGTAGGTGAGATGTACCTCTCCAAGGCTGCTGCAGGTCCAATCGGCACAGCTGAGTGCATGTTCCTCAGCTAGGTCAGGTCCAAGTTCACCAGCCTCTTGTGCTCCCCGCCAGAGTGAAGAGTGCAGAAAACTGTGCACTTTCCCCTTGCTCCCTGACGAAGGAGGATAACCAGCAATATCCTCATACAAATCAGAGGGGTAAAGGGAAAGTGTGATGGGGTGACGAAAACCCGCACTACCCCAGGCCCCTCCCCCCCGGGGGCTGGGAGAGATGAACCAGCCTTCCCCGCCGCCAGGGAGACCGCGGTGGCAGCTAAAGCCTGTGGCGGGGACGGCAGCTTAGCAGGGGAGACCGTGGTGGCAGCTGGAGCATGCTGTGCAGTCAGCAGCTGGGCTGGAGCTCTGGCTGGTCCGCCGGGGGGCCGGAGAAGGCACTGGGGGTGGGGCCCTCAGAGGCGGGGGAGGAGCAGACTCAAAAGACGCCAGTGCAGGCATACTGGGAAAGGGCATGGCCGAACCCTGGAGAGAAAGGGGCGGTGCCCTTGGCATCATAAAGGTGGCTGGGATCCTCAGACAGGAGAGGTCAGCGAAAGGCACAGATGAAAAGTATCCGGCCCCCGGAGAAAAGACGAGTGGGACGTTCGGGTGAGCGGGGGTGAGGAAGCAGCCCACGGTGGGCATAAGTAAGGTGCCTGCGGGTTGATGAGTTGTGGCATGTAGCCCCATCAGCCAGGTGCGGGGAAAGTGGATATTTTCCCTCACTTAGGGCCCTGGGCTGGGGCCTGGAGAGAGGGTGGGCCCAGGCCCCCCTCACACTCCACTCGGGGTAACCACTGAGCCAATGCGGTTCACAATCACATGCCTGATCAGGAGGGGCGGGTCAAGGGAATGGGTGGAAACAGAGGCAGAGAAGGGGGACTTAAGAGCATGACCAAGGCACCCCGTGACAGAAAGCTTCAGCTCCCTCCCTCTGCTATCCTTAAGGGTGCTTAGGGTGGTGGGAAGCTCAGGACTATGGCAGCCCCAGAGGTGGTGGAATGCAGTCCCTTTCACCTGTCTGGTGATTCTGTCTCTCTTCTGTGTGGTTTTATGAGAAGCAGTCCCATTCTGAGCACATCCCATTTTCCTGGCACAGCCAAACCCTTACTTTTCTGTAAGTTATGATAAGAGGAAGCTGCAAACTGAACTTGGTGATCCTAGCTCTTTCTGTTTAGGAGTTCTTGAACGAACAGACACACACACACAGATGCACGGACTTTCTCAAATATATATTAGATTAGATTTTTAGATGTATCAAAGGCTACTTAATCCTTCAGATACCTGTGAAAACCAGAGTCAGAAAAGTTATACGTACTGTAAAATGTCCTTTTTTAATTTAATCTCTTGAATTAGTATTGTATCTTTTAGCACTGTTATACCTTTGCTTCCTAGTGGAACTGTTGATGTCAGTGAGAGCAGCGTATGGCCCCAAGAGTATGTAACCTCATGAAAAAGATGTTGAATTGGTCAATTGACCTATATTGCAGAGTAATAAGTCTTTGTTAAAATTAAAAGTACAAGCATTTCCTAACTATAACCTCCCAGAGCTACTCTTTAACCCATCTGACAATTGTTAAAGTTACAGAAAGCAATCACTGTTCATCACTGAAGAAAATGACTCGCTGCTTTTCAGGGTCAAAGTAGTTGCAGTCTTTATTTCAGAAGGTGAGCAGTGGAATTCCAGTGGAATTAACTTTGCCAGTACCAGTTCACTTGCAGTCATCTTGGAAATGTAATATATAGTGGTTTGTAGAGAGAGAGAAATGCTTGGAAGTGAGTTTTAAAATATTTTTCCTAGGTTGTGACTGAACAAGCCTTCTACATCTTTTATATTTAAAATCTGCTGATTTCAAAATACAGATACTTGGAAGTTTCTTATAAGTTGTTGCATGCTTTGGATGTTTAAGAAGAAGAGGGAAAATGGACGGATAAAATGGGGCGTAATGATACAGCCTTAGAGTACCCACAGCTTTCAGTGACTTTAATGGGAGCATTGGTTGCATAAAAATGCAAAATGGGCCCTGTCACATGCTTGTGTATGCTTGAAAGTATATTTGTATTATATTTTTATTTTGCTGTGGTGTCTTGCTGGTTCTTTAGTCTGATATTTTGATGAGATTCTTCCTTGGCAACTACAGTTGTGACTGTACATTTGATCACCCTGGTGATGGGGAAGACAAGATTTTGAAATTTTCTTAATATTTTTCTGGACCTTCCTAAGCACTCTCCTTAATGTATGGTATAAAAACCTTTTGATATTTCTCTTGTCTCTAAAGAGCCACTCCAAAGTGGACTGGGAAATGTCAGGTGGCAGGATGAATAGCTTTTTCTTTGAAAATATAAATTACTTTATGAATTCTTCCTTATGCTCCCCAAACCAGTAAGATGATGTGTATAACTCCACTCTAGTGAAAGCTTGGTTTTTATAAGCTAATTGACAGTCTACAAAGATTTCGGGTGTTTCTAGAGAATGTTTAAGCATATTTGTGATTTGTTGCTTTTGTTAATGTGGAGAGTGCTGCTTGGAGCTAGGCAATGAGGTGCACTGAAAATGAAGCACACTAACTTGATATTAGGCACACGAACAAATATTACATTAACAGTGCAATATTAGCTGAAGTGCTACCAACGATCTTAAAATTATTAGTACCATAAATTAAGATCAAATCTATTCCACAGTAAGCTATACCATTACTTTTTGAGTTTGAGTAATTTGATCTGACAGCAAATGGTGTAGGTTGGAAGCTTTTAACATTTACAAATATGGCATCTTCACAAAAATATGGAGTCATATTTATCCCAGAAAAGGAAAATATGGATCATTGTTTGGTCAGATGAATAGCATCTTAGAGTTTTTTAAATTTATTGATATTACAGAGTGAACAGCTGAAAAGTGCATTCCATGCATATAGTAAATCTTGATTTGTTTTAATTCTACTTCTGAGCAAAAAGTGTGAGGTCTTTCAAATAAATGTGTGAATATATACTATATATGTTATTACTAAATGTGATGGCCTAATTAAATACATTACAAATTATTATTTAGTAGTTAGTAAATCAGTTATTTTCATTTGTCATAGTTTTGCATTATGCCCACATTTAACCATTAAATACAAGGCTAATATCAATAAAATCTCTTTATTAATAGGCAGGTAAATAGTAGTCTTGATGTAAAAGTTTCTGCATGGTTTATGTGCCAAATAATACTCACTTTTTATTAGATATGTTTCTAAAATTTTCCATAAAAATAAACCTCCTTTGTCTCCTTAGTACCACTGATTTTTCTTTTAAAGGTGCATTACCAATGCTGATGGAACCTGTGCAATTAGCTTCTACATTTAACAAAAATAAATGTGGTAAAATGAAAAGTGCTGTATCTATAGTATTTAATATAATATTGCACAATATTGCTGTACTTGAAGCAATGATACCTGAAGGAGGACAAAATATTGAAAGGTCGAGAAAAATGAGAGAGAGAGAACAAACGATGCAAAAAGAAAATGACACTGAGGTCTTGGTTTAATACATATGTATTCCAGGTTGATGGCTGATTTCATTAGCAAATCTCATTGTTATGCAATGTCTGTTCTCCTGCAGCAAAATGAATATTGTATTCTCAGAGGCTGTGTGTGTGTGTGTCTATTTTATGTTGATAGATAAATGAAAGGATATATATTTACAGCTTTCTTCAGTCTTTTGTATCTTTTCTAAAAAATATGCCTGGCGTTCAACATTGCTTTTTTTGTTTCTTAAACCTTTCAAGGTATACATAGAGTTGTATATTAAAGGTAACTTTTAAATACAAAATACCTATAAAATGTTCCTGTAGTTTTTATACTGAGAGATCTGTTTATTAAATGAACACTTTTCCTGTATACTGGAACGAAAATTGCAAACCTTCCAAAGACCATCAGTTTGAGAAAATAAATCTTGTTTAATGCTAAAACTATATTATAAAGGCCAAATGGTGGGCTTGAAAAAGAATTGAGGGTAGGTTGTCTTGTTTCCTTCCCACTATCTAGTTAAACCAAATCCCAAAATAAGTGTGCTACATGGATGATCCTTTTCATGCTCTAATAAGTGATAAAATACTGAAAATGTTTAATTGAAAAACCTAATATTAAATAGTTTATCCTAACGTGACTTGAATTTATTTATAAAATGCTAAATTCAGAAATGTGACACAGTTGAAAGGCTTAAGGAATTGTATAGTTTCTGTTGTCTCTAAATCACCATTTCAAATCCAGCCCCTACTTTGTAGTGATGGAAAGCTTTGATGGTCAAAGACCCCAAATGAGGAGGACACAACACTTATTCATGTA